GTGGTCAGCAGCTCCCGGAGGTGGTCCTCATGGATGAAACCTGGGGGCAGGGGCAGGGTGGGTGAGAACAGGAACTTGGGCTGGGACACACATGGTACTCCCATCCCTCAGCCCCCTGGCAGCTCTTGCAGACCTAGAGGGGCTGGGAAGATAGTCTTTGTTGCTGGTCAGTCTGAGGAATGGAGATGTGCATGGAGAGCTTGCTGGGTCCCAGGGGGTGGTGTTGTGCAGTGCGACTGTCTCCGAGGTGTCACTCGGGGAACTTGGGGCTGTAACGCAGGGGGTGCTGGGTACACCCTGTTGTAAGCGTGAGCTTTGGAGTTCCACTGCCTCAGTTGAAATGCTGATTCCTATTCTCCCTAGCTGTGTGACTTTGGGCAAGGTCCTTAACCCCTGTTTAATCTAGAAAATGGGGATGAAAATATGCCGTGCTGGTGAGGGACTGTGAAGGTGGTCAGGAAAACTCTTTGAATGTGCTTCAGCCCCGTGTGGCCCATGGCAATGGCTATTATCACCCTGACATGCCCCTGGGAAAAATGAGCCAAGGGACAGAACGTCCGCTAGGAGATCTGAGGATGGGAGCCAGTTTCTGTACCTTGTTGGCAAGAAAGGCATGAAATGGTTTGATTTCTGGAAAGATCTAAAGCAGATGGAGAATGTACACTGGGCCAGCAGGAGAGATCAAGAAGGCAGCAGCCTTGGTGGCCATGGGTTGTTCTGGCCTAGCCTTTGCAGCAAGAATAAGGAGGTGGCCTGGCTTTCATAGTTCTGGTAACAGAACCTGGGAGATGGGTGATATCTGTTCTGGCCCTTAGAGGCAGAGGCACGGAATGCCTGGGCTGGGCCTGGCCCCACTGGCATGCAGGGTGGTGGTTGGGGCACCACGAACCTGAGGCTTCCTCATCGAAGCAGGCAAAGGCATTGCGGATCACGTCCTCGGGGTCGGTGCCGTTGAGCTTCTCCCCAAACATGGTGAGGAACATGGTGAAGTTGATGGGCCCTGGGGCCTCGCTCATCATGCC